TTCAAGTGGCAAAATACAACTTAAAATGTTCTAAGTAATATAAATTGTACCTGGCATTTACCCAGAATATGTGTTGTACTCCATGAGTATTTCTATATTAAAATAAGTTTTATACACCAAATTGTTTGTTGTGTACTGATCATTTAAAGACACTTACAAGTGTATATGTAGTTATTTACAATTTTTTCCAGATGAAATAATTCCAAATTGGTTTTTTTAAATGTATTTCAAACCACCAGTTTCAAACCATTTTAACCAGACTATACTTTGAACTACAGCATCTATACAAACCTATGTAGCATAGAATTCAATCTTTGATGATCATTAAACAGACAGTGATTCTAAAAAAAAGGTAAAAATTGTAAGCAGTCAATGGGAACTCAAAGTAAAGACATGTCACTGGCTGCAAGTTAGGGAGACTTGGGCAACATCCCCCCTCCTTGGGCAACCCAGAAGCATTTGATTGTCATCCATGCCTGGGGGGTGAGAAATTTAAACCTTGCCTGGGTGGGTTGGGGCATTTGAGCTTGAAGTGTCATGTGTTTCCAGGATAATACACCTGTTTGATGGAGGAATTAAAAGGTAAAGTGTGTGCTTTTGTAAGTAAATGGTTTAAAAGGACAATTTTTTCATGATAGAGTGATGCTTGTGAGCAAAAAGCCCAACAGCAGCACTAAAAACTAATATGGACCTTGCTAAATTCTATAACAATTTTTGATCAAACAAAGAATTGTTCAATAATGGGCGGGGTATTTGAACAAGCCAATCTTTAAAAGTATAAATGCCAGGGGGTTGCCAAGGGAAGGGGGATGTTGAAGCTTCCAATTGACTGATGCATCTAACCAGATATTCAAAAGAGTAGCCGCAATCATAGCTAGTGACCATGTCAATATTGGTTTTATTTCAATTTGAAGTCTGATTGATTGAGAGAAGAGGGTTTTCTTGTCATGATCACTGTTCATTGTAAAGCTAAACCAAATGAATACATTACCAAATTAGTTTCAACCCTCAACAGAAAATTCCTTTATGGGGTTAAATCAAGTTTATGCCTTATATAACCATACAAACATTCAACCCTTTCACCTCTAAGAGTGATTAGCATCTAGTTTCTCCTTAGAACATCACCACGGAATCAGACATTAATGACATGAGAATAAAGGAAATGATAACCAACTAAAGTATCGCTTGATCATTGGTCAAATTCTCCTTGTCAGCACCTCAGTAACTGTACAGAGAACAGTGTGGAGAGTATGAGGGCTAAGAATAGAAGCCTCACAGAGGGTGCCAAAAGCTTTCGCAAATGGAATCTGCATGAGCAACATTAGTTTCTAATTGGTGAATTGCTCAAGATGTTCATGTTAGCTCTTGGTCATATCACATCACATTTTTCAGTGGGGAGAGTTCCAAGGAGACTATGTGAACAATCATGTCAGATGGTTTGATTTCATTTTTTGCTGTATGAAATTCATTTTCTATTATTAAAAGAATCTAAAAGCTAGAGTGGCTTTATATTAAGGACCATTCATCATTGATATTGGGGGGTGAGCTGGAGTGTAATTCAGCAGTTTCCATTGATTTTGCGAGTGATTGGCAAATAAACGTTCCCATGTAATTCGTATCTTTCTTGCATGTGGGGTTCGTGGGGTTTTCATTTTTCATTTTTTACATAACATGCTAAGGAGTTAAAAAATTCCTTCCTTTTCCTTGGAAGGAGGTCTAAAAAATTTTCGTTTAGCTTTTTGATAGATCTTTCTAGTGCTCAGTCCCCTGCTATAAATTATTAGTTGTTTCCTAGTTACATAGCCGACGTTTCATGCAGTACAAAAAAAAGAGTTTTATGAAAACGACGGGAATGACAAGAAATCTCCTGGGCTGTGGTTGTTACACGACTGCACCTCGGAAAAACAACTCAATGACAAAAAAGAGTGAAGAATCAACGATATCAATTTTAAAACAAACCTTGTAATTGAGTATTGTATAAGAACGCCAGCAAACCAAAGTGAGGTACGCCATCAGGTATAAATCCTCCGTGCGATCATAAAAATCAGGCGTCATGTAAGCGTCAAGCGTAAATGAACTGTCTTGCTCATCTCAGAGAGCGATTATGTTGTAGTTGGTCTCTTTTCTTAGTTTAACATTAAATACAAGCATAAAAATTATAAAATAAAATAAGGAAAAAAAGCCGTGCAGTAGCAAAGAACAGGATGGCGAGGTAAGAGGCAGTGTTCTGCGGAAAGCTTATCAGGTGCGGAAGACTGCAAATTCCATTTTTTTTTCTCCGTAGCCCAGGTAAGGAAAACGTAAAGAAAACAGTAAAAGGTGAATGTGTTTTGCTTTTGCATGTCTTGAAGAGCCATAGATCAGGTAAATGATACATAATTGCTTGCTTTATTTATCTTCGGTTTGATTGGTTATGATGGTGTCTTATTTTTCTTCGAAGAACTATAGAATTTCTTTCAAAGTATAAAAAAAACGGATCAACAAACCGCAGTGTTTATTAAGCTAGTAATCTTGTCATACAGTGATGTCCTACTCTCTAACTTTCTTCCTCGGCTCGTCCCGATTACTCATTCTCAGTCATGAACTATTGTTCTAAAAAGACAACTAGAATCATTTAACAGATTTTTTTCAATAAGTAAGGTAACTGCAATGAATGGATCTCCTCCGTGATTGGGCAATCGAAGGGTACAAATGTCATCTTGTTGATAGTTCCGTCAATCAGGTCAAGTTTAATTACCGTAAAACTGATACGTGATCACAGTAAATGCAGGTTTTCAAACTTGCAAAATATTGGCTAAACTTGGATTAGACGCCCTTCCCTGTCAAAATGCCGAAGTCAAGATTCCATCTGTCCCGTCTAATTATTCTTCGTCACCAAGAACAAGTTTTTAAATTTTTGAAAAACGCGACTTGAAAACATTCCCATCGTAACATTATACATTACGTGACTGCTTTTACAAACTAGTTATTTAAGAATCTCTTAGTCTTAATCGTAAGAGAGCGAAATTGGAATATCATAAGTGACTAGATTCCGTAAATAGACTAAGTAAAAAGGATTAATGAAATATTTTCATTTTCAAACAGAATTCACATTTGCATCTTTCAGGTGTTTGAAATCTTCCATAGATAGATTTCAATTTTTCTTCTTCTGTGGCTAGATTTACTGCAAAAAGAAAAAACTTATCTCCATTGTTTTATTCAGCGCGTAAAAATCGGAACTGAACATGACCCTTTTGACCTGTAAAACATTCCTCTCTTTGGTGGGATCTGAATGTCATGCAGTCGATTGCGTGACGATCCCAAAATACATCTTCTATTTGAACAAGAATAAATTAGAGTGGCTAATTTCTAACATCACTGTGAAAAAGGAAAGTTCAGTTTTTCAGTTTCTTAAAGAAATATCTTCTAGCTAATGTAGAATAACTTTAAAAGTCTATTTTGGACAAATTTTTTTAGATTCTTAACTTGCGTGACTTGTTTTCTCCTGCTATTTGAAAAACACTCTTCTCCTTCAAACAGAATCGCGAGCATTTCCAATCGTATGCTCAATTGGCAGCCATAGAAACTATTCTTACTCGATAAAAGCTCAGCTTATTTGGAAATCCGTGCGAGTCACTCAAGTATTTGACGCTTTCATTTTCTAAGAACACAGCGTGACTCTGGGGACTTCCTGCTGTCAATTTAACATCTAATTGACTTCCTCGACTTTCTGTATAAATAGATGGTCGATTCTAAAGCTTTCCATGCCATTTGCAACCAGAAAAGATTGATATCAGGAGAAACTAGAGACTACAAATCAAGCTTGGAGAAAAACCCGTCACACAGCAAATATGGTCGAGGTACGGTAAACTTACTATACATTTAATTTTCAATCGTGGATTCCAAGCAGTTAAATTTTCAATTAATAAGTTAAGCTCGCGCTTTCCATTTCTAGTCGCCTTGTGCTATGTTCAGTTTAGATCCTAAAAGATGTTCCGTTTTTTTTTTTCAACCTTCCCGGACAGTCAATTGAAATCAGCGCGTGCGCTCGAATGGACATCCCCGAGCACAGACTAAGCAGAAGCGGAAACCTCTTTATGGCAGATTTGCCGAAGAGCGAACCTGGTCGTCAAATTCCTGTAGAGTTTACCGGGAGCCATCGGGGCTACAAAACAGGTAAATTTAAGCCTATGGTAGGGTGTGATCTTCACAAAGGCCGTTATCGTGAAGCTTTTCTGTATGTTAAAAGTGCATAGTCTAAAATGATCGCGCATAATGTAACTGACTCAATGCCGATTTAAGTGCAAGTGGACCTTAATGTGTCTATAGATTGACTTTACGGTAAATGTAATCTACATGCAAAGACACCTACCGATTTCAATTTTGACGGCGAGTTAATTGCAAAACTTCTTTAAATGAAGCCCAAATATCTGTGAACATTCACAAGGCCTTGTTAATCTAGTCATACTAGCAACTTTTCTGTTTAAATTATTCCATATAGTAATACAGAACTTTTCTGCTTTTGCAATTCACGACTACGTAAAATTCGAGAACTAGTTTTCGTGAAGTGTTTTTGTCAGAGAACAGGAAAAAACTTTGAGCTTGTAGGTTCCCTGTGTTTTAAACCCAGCTTCAAAACATTATTCAGCATGCCACTAGACTGATCACATGATTAAAATAATCTTCAGTATGGTTCAGAGGTAAATTAAATATACATTGAAAAGTTCAGTTTACCTCAAACTAAAATTGCTTTTTTTTATTTTCATGTTTCTAGTATTTTACATAGAAAAATCTTATAACCATGGGGCAAATACTATAAGGTATGACTTGGATGGCAGCCATTACTACCTGTGTGTAGAAGGGAACAGGGTGTTTTTACAGGTGAGTTGTGATTTACTGTGGTTAAGAAATTA